TTTATTCTTTGAGACAGGATCTCACTAAATTGCCCAAGTGGAACTCAAGGCTGGCAATTCTCCTGCCTCAGCCTCCCAAATACTGAAATTACAGGTATGTGCCACCATCTTTGCCTGGCTTTCTTTTCTTGTTTAAAGCCTTAAATCTAAATGCAGAAGCATTGTAGACATGTTTCCTGCCTGTAGAGAAAACTGGTTAGCAGTGAGAGAAAGGGTAACTAGTTGCCAGGCAGAAAGCACAGAGAAAATTTCTGGAAGCCTCCTAGCAAGGTTTGAGGCCCTCAGGCCCGTGGTCCCTGCCATCCCTGCAGCAGTCAGCCTTTCTTGATGCCCGATTTTGTCAACCTTTCCTTGGATTTCATGAGCCAATAATGTTCCCTCTCTGTCTAGGTCTCCTTGAGTCAGGTGTCTGTTATTGTCTAATAAAATATAATCACACAGGTGCTCAGAGGCCTCGAAGACCAGGACAGTGCTATTGTCACTTGTAGGCAAGGTTATGACCTGAATCTATAAATCTTTTTTATTTCTACTACAGCATTGATTACAGAATAGAGACTACTGAATGAAGAGCCGATGGGTTACTATGAGCTACGCTTGGGCCAGGGATTTAGCTCAGTGGTACCGCCTCCTGCCTCCCAAGTGCAAGCACAAGGTTCTGGGTTCAATCCCTGGAGCCAAAAGAAAACAGAAGCAATCAGGGCCGGGGATGTCGCTCAGTGGCACTGAGTCTGCCCGGCCATCGTTAGACAGAAGATTTGTATCTTCAACTGACTTTCTCCATAACCCTCTGGAAAGGAACCTTTAGAATCCCAGAGTTACAGGTCCTCATTGCAAAATGGTAGAGTAATAGTCCTCTCCATTTGATGGGGTTGTGGAAATGCTAAAAAAAAAAAAAAGGATGTTGCGGTCGGACAGGAGAAATAAAAACAGGTAGCGAGGAAAGAAAGGAAACTTGCTTATTTATCTATTTTTTGGAACCGGGGACCGAACTTAGTGCACTGGGCTCAGGAGGCAGGCGGCGGCACCGCGGAGCCAGATCCCCAGCTGGGAATCTTGTTTTAAAATGGTACCACAGAAACCTGCAGCTTCAGGACACAAGGTCCCGTGCTCAGAAGCTTCCCTCCCCAGCTGCCTTCATCCTCCCTCGAGGTTTTAGTTTTGATTTTTTCTCTTCTAGGCCTGGCCACACCCAAATCCTGTAAAAATCCTCTAAACCAATAAATGAACCTCTTGATGAGGTGACATTTAAATGAAGAGGCAGATTCCAAGTTTTCAAAGACCATATTCAGGCAACATAGCTTAGGTCACCGCCTTAAAGGCCGCTTCCAGGAACATGTGCAGAAGCCCCAAGACCTGGGCCCTGCGACCTCTCACTTCAGGGCCTGCACTGTTTCCTCTGCCCAGCAGACCTACCTGAGCCTCACACAGACACATCCAGATTTCTTGGGGGATGGGTAGGACAATTTGTTAGATTTCCCTCGCCTTGAAATGGCTGCTACATAAAATACCCTTCTCCTTCCCATAATGCCCTGCCTCTCACCTAAAATATGGCTTCTACCGAAGGACAGCCTTCTTTGCAATGTGCCCCTCTTCCAGCCAATCTGATACTTGCTACTGCCTAGCAACTAGTGATGTCACGAGCTCCCCCAATCCCAGGCCACTACATTGCTCAATCCCACCCAGCTCCTATAAGCCCCACCCCAGTCCTATAAGAGGTGCTCCCAGTCTCAGCCATGTTACTCTCTCCTTCGTTCTGAGACGCTGGCAGATCTCCCCCATGATAAAGGCTTCTTATAGTCCTGATCTGGCCTCGGTTTCTGCTTTTTTTACCTGACAGTACTGGGGAGGAGTGAGACTAGACCCAAGTCTTTCCCATTGAGCTGCATCCCTGGCCCTTTTTTATTTATTTATTTATTTTTTGAGACAGGGTCTTACTAAATTACTGAGTCACCCAGGTTGGGCTTGCACTTGCAATCCGCCTTCCTCAGCCTCCCGGAGTGCTGAGATGATATGTGTGTTACCACACCCAGCCTTCCTGTGATTTTAATGTTCAAGGTTCATCTCTAGGGCTTTTTGCTTGCCCTTCCAGCTCCCGTGATACATAAGCTACGGAAACTGCAAGAGACAGCAGGAAGCCAGATGCTGGCAGGCTGGACCCCCATGGCTGTCCTGTATTGTTTCTCTCATTCCAGGTGCTGTTCTGAAATGAAGCTCCCTGAGTGTTTCACGCTCTTTTCTGCGTGTGCGTTCATACATGTGTGTGCGTGCGTGTGTGAGTGAACGGATGTGCACACTGAGGCTGAACCCAGAGCCTTGAACTTATGGGCTTCATTACTCAGCTATACCCCAGCAGTTCATACTATTTTTCTGTCTTGAACTCTTGCACTGCTGCCCTTGCTGAATCCTTCAAGTCTACTCCGGAACCTGGCTTTATAAGGTGAGCATTCGAGAGGCTGAGGCAGGAGGATTGAAGGTTTGAGGCCAACCTACATTACATAGCAAGACCCTGTCTCCAGAAACAGCACAAAACAAAAGGCTGTCTTCTACATGAGACTGTGAGTTAAATGAAGACAGGAACACTGTGCTTGATTTCTATATTCATATCTCCAAATGCAGAAAGGTGGGGTTTTGTGTGTTTGTTTCTTGGTTACTTTTCTCATTGCTGAGACAAAGTACTTACTCAACATTCACAATTAAAGGAGGAAAGGTTTATTTGGCTCACAGTTTGTAGAGGCTTCAGTTTATAGCTGGCTGGCTCCAGGGCAGGGTGGCGTGGCAGAGATCACAGTGCAGAAACAGTTCATGGTGGGCAGAAGCAATGAAGTAGCAAAGAAGCAGCAGGACAATGGCAGCCCTTTTTCTGTCCCTTGTATTTTCTCCAGGCTGCATGCCCTTAGGGTGGGTAGCACATACCCAGGGTGGGCCTTTCTGTTCGCCACACCCAGAACTGTGTCAAACCAATCAGTGGGCTAATTAGTAATCACACACTCTGGATCCCAGGATCACACATTCTAGATCCAGCCATCTCTAAAAAAAGCCCCAGCCGTGGCCACAAGAGGCCTAGATGCAAGCCGCAACACTTTGTTCTGGGGTTTTCTTTGTTTGCTTTGAGTTGTTTCCTTGTTTGTTTGGTGGTAGTAGGGACTGAGTACAGGTCCCTTGCACTGAGCTACATCCTCAGCCCCTTTTATTTGCAACAGAGTCTGGTTAAATCACTAAATTGCGTGGACTGGGCTGGAACTTGCAGTCCTCCTGCCTCAGCCTCCCATAGTTCTGGGGTTACAAGTATGTCACACGCGCACGCACACACACACACACACACCCACGTAGTTCAGAAGGGTTTATTGAATGATGGAGTGGACAAATATGAATGTATGAACTTAGAAAACCTATTCCTATAGAACTCCCCCAGAGATACTGAAATGGGCAGGGGGTATAGCACAGTTCTTGTCTAGCATTTCACCCTCAGCACCAAAGCACAGAACCAAAGCAAAACAGGAGCCTGAAGGATTATTGAAACTTGTCTTCTTTTTTTTTTTTTTTTTTTTTTTTTTTTTTTCTTTTGTACTGGGGATTGAACTCGGGTCCTTGTGCTTGCCAGGCAGACAGTGGCACCACTGAGCTAAATCCCCAGCCCAAAACTTGTCTGATCTTGACTGGCCTTGGCTCATTGCCAGGGCAGCTTCAGGTTTTAGGGGTTCACTCTTTACTACTCCATATACAAATTACCCCACTGGGATGGTGCTGAGGCTAGCACCTAGGACCTCAGGTGTCCCACACCAAGCTACACCACAACCCCTTAGACCAGTGGTGCCGAACCTGTGACATGTGTGCCACGGTGAGCTTGTGTGTACCATTGAAAGCACTAAAAGTTTCACCATCACAAATGTAGACAAATCTTTGAGGTGGCCTGATGCACAGTTTCTGGTCAAACCAGTGTGTCCAGCAGCTGTTTGGCAACACATTCTTTGTGATTATTTCACTTAAATGACTACTAAGTCCCAGTACCCAGGACACTGAGGCAGGAGGATCCAGGCCAGTCTGGACTACACAGTGAGTACATAGTGCACTATGTAGCAGTGCACTACATAGTGAGAGTTTGTATCAGAAGAGAAACAATGAGAGAGAGAGAGAGAGAGAGAGAGAGAGAGAGAGAAGTAATGGTAACATCTATTGGACTTTATTACCAGCATGTACTATCTGGTGTGTCTTACAGACAATAACATCCAATTCTCACAACTATGCTAAGGTAAATGTTCTTTTTATTCTCACCCCACATATGCAAAAAGTGAAGCATAAAAACTTTCAACACAGAATATTGAAGTCCATAGAGCTGGGCAATAATAGACTATCTGAAACATAAACTTTGCTGCATAAGACACCAAAAGAAATAGAAAAGAAAGCCAGGTGTGGTAGCATACACCAGAACTTGGGAGGCTGAGGCAGGAGGGTCACTGTAAGTTTGAGGCCAGCCTGGGCTACACGGTGAACTCAAGGCCAGCCTGGACTACATAGCAAGTCCTTGTCTCAAAAATGAATGAATGAGTAAAATAGAAAAGAGAAAGTGAAGAGCGGTGGTGCAAAGCTGTAATCCCAGCACCGTGGGATGCTGAAGTGGGAGGATCTCAAGGTAAAGCCCAGGATGGACAACGCAGTGATTTAAAGAGACCCTGTCTCCAAATAACAAATATAAACGGTGCTGGAGACATAGCTCAGCATGACAGTCCCTGAGTTCGATTCCGGTTACTGGGGAGGAGAGAGAGAGAGGGAAATATCTCAAAAGAGAAGAGAAAGAGACAGACAGCGAGCGAGAAAGCTGCCCATGAGCAGATCCTGGGTCACATAGCTAGATCCTGTCTCAGAAAAGAAAAATAGGGCCAGGGTCGCAGCTCAGCAGCACTGCACCTGTCTGGCGAGCACAAGGTCCTGAGTTTGGTCCCTGGTACAAAAATTAATTCATTAATTAAAATAAAACACCCTGTGCTGTGCTGCCTCCCAAGGTTAAGATTAAGATTATCCTCCCCTTCCGCTCGGCCGCCGACTTGCCATCCACACTGAGGAAGACCCGGAGACTTCGGGGCCACGCGAGCCACGGCCACGGCCATCGGCCCCGGAAGCACCCGGGAGGCCGGGGTAACGCGGGTGTCATGCGTCGGCACAGGATCAACTTCGACAAACATCGCCCAGGTTACCTTGGGAAGGTGGGTATGAGGCGTTGCCACTCAAAGAGAAACCAGAGCGTCTGCCCAACTGTCAACCTTGATAAACTGTGGACATGGGTCAGTGAGCAGACACGAGTAAGCGCTGCCAAAGACAAGAATGGGTTGGCTCCCATCGTGGATGCAGTGCGATCGGGCTACTTAAAGTTCTGGGGGGGGGGGAGGAAACTCCCAAAGCAGCCTGTCATTGTGAAGGCCAAACTCTTCAGCAGAAGAGCTGAGGAGAAGATTAAGGGTGTCGGGGGGCCTGTGTCCTGGTGGCTTGAAGCCACAGGACAGGGGGCTCATTAAATACCAACAAATTGTTTGCAAAAAAAAAAAAAAAAAGAGTAAGATTATTCTTTCTTTTTTTTGTTCTGTGCTCTCTCTATATATGTGTGTTTGTGTGTGGTTCTGAGGATTGAACTCAGGGACTGAGCTACATCCTCAGCCCTTTTTAAATGCTTTTATTTTGAGACAGAGTCTTGATAAGTCACCCAATCTGGGTTGAGACTTGTAATCCTTTTGCCTCAGCCTCCCAGACTGCTAGACTCACAAGCCTGCCTGCTCTTACTACCGTCACTATTTAGGAAATCCCACCTTCTGCCTTTTGGCAAACAACATTCAAATGACTTCTAAATCCTGAACCTCCTTATTTTTTTTTTAAAGACAAGGTCTTGCTGTGCAGTTCAGGCTGACCTTGAACTCACTGTGTAGCCCAGGCTGGCCGAGAACTCTGATCCTCTTGCCTCAGTCCTAAATACTGGGATCACAGGCACGCCCCCCCGCCCCCCAGCTAGTTGGTCATTAAACTATAACATCTGTTGCCCCGCGTGGCTATGTGCGTCTATAACCTCAGCCATTCAGAGGCTAAAGCAGAAAGACTGTAAGTCTGAGGCCGATCCAGGCAAATTAAAGAGATTGTTTCAAAATAAAAAAATCAAAAAGGATAGGGACGTAAGTGTGGTAGAGCCCTTGCCTGGCACACATGAGTTCTTGGGTTCAATCCCCAGCACCTCAAAAAGAAAACCAAAAAACCAGCACAATGCCAGACTGCCGAATAAAAATCTAGATCCGAGAGGATCATTACAGGGGTGAAGAGCCCACTGCAGGAGGCGGAGAGGGACCGTGGCAGAGTCTATGACTCTAACCGTGCAGCGTTCAGAAGTGAGGCCAGGAAAGGTTTTCTCCTGGAGAAAGGACAGGAGGAACCCGGAGAGAAGCAGTGTGGGAGGGGAAGAACGGCTGAGGGCAGCAGAGCAGAGGTGAGGCTGCCCCCGGGCGGATGGGGGCTGAGGGGCCTTTCCTTCCTCGTGGTAGGTGGGGCGTGGGGGCAGCCAGGCGAGCTGGGACCAGCAGGGAGTGGGGATCGGGCCCTGGGGAGTGCAGGGGCAGGTTCCGGAGCAGGGCTGGGGGTCCTCACAGGAGCTGTTTTCAGGATTCTCCCACTTTCCTGCACACTCAGCGTGTCAAAACAGACATTCAGATTCCTCTTCGTTGTTGTTGTTTTGGGGCTGTTCAGTCTCAGGACAAAGACTGTACCTATAGTAGTGGTTTATTTTATTTTTAGTATTTAAATTTTTTTTGGAGGACAGCAGTTTCAATCTGTTCAAAGCTATTGTCGTTACAGTTTAATGCCCTGGCCTAGTCAGGGCTCTATGCCCAAACTGCTTTTTGTGTGGTTGGGTTTTGTTTTGTTTTTGAGATAGGATCCTACTATGTAGCCTAGATCGGCCTGGAACTCATGGGACCCTCCTGCCTCAGCTATCCTTACATGCGTGTGCCACCACATGAGGCCCTGAAATGTTGTTGAAAAGAAGACCTTAGACAAAGCAAGTAGAAGATAGGGTTCTTTTTTATCCAGTCTATCAACAAAATTCAAAATAATTCACAAATTTTGTCAGGGATGTAGTTCAGTGGGGCCATGCCTGCCTGGTAAGTGCGAGGTCCTGCATTTGACCCCCCCACACCTGTACCAGGAAAAAAATAAATTATTGGGCTGGGAATTTAGCTCAGTGGTGCTGTCACCCACCTTGCAGGAGCAAGGACCAGAGTTTGATCCCTGGTACA